TAAAAGGCGATGGAATTGCTTGTGAAATAAATATACTTGCTTATTTTCTCACATCACGCACCTCAGGTATTTGTGGAAATAACTTAAAGTTAACTTCATTTTGCAAAAGTAAGAAAGTTAAGAAATTTAAATGAACCATATTTTTTGGTTAAATTGGGAATTATTTAATTATTTCTGATAAAAAGCTATGAATTTTAAGTTATTTCTCATCAGTTTTATTACAAATAAGCTTGTGGAATCTTTTAATTTTTTTTAAATCAGCACTTTTCGTGAAAAATTATTCCAGCTGCATTTTTACACACAAAATTTGACCGACTGTGTAATTAAAACATTTAATTTTTATAATAATTTATAAAATGTTAAAAATTCAAAAATTGTAATTAATAAAATGTAACTTTAAACAATTTTCCACGAAAAATTGTTTGTTTGAAAGTAACATTATTTTTCAAAGATTGATGTTTGCACTTAATTCATGTCAAAATGATTTCTCAGATCATGAATTGTGGCTGGAGCCGTTTCTTTTTTAATAATAAATAACTAATAAATAAAACCCATCGAGGATGTTCAATTCATATCAAGACGAAATATAATTCACAAAAAAACTGATAATAAAGTTCAAATGTAACTTAATTTATTGTTTTTTGAATAAAAATTAATTTAATTATCATTGAAATTTTGAAGAATCTCGCTTAAAATCAAATTTTTTTTAAACCCCTTATCCCAAATTTTTAGTTTATAAAAATAAAATCGGTCTTTTTACAAAATAAAAAAATCGCACAAATTATGCAGGCTTTAATTTGATTGACGTTTTTAGATCTGCTTTAACATTTCCATCCCTGGTGCACCCCTTTCAACTCGTAATGCGTAATTCCCACCTGATTGGCGCAGCTAATTAGTAATTAACATCCCCGAGCTCAAAACCCACGCACGTCTCTCTCGCGCTGAGCCTCTGGGCAAAATCAATAAACGCAAAATGGCATAAATTGGAGGTTAGGTGCGCATAACTGCACCGTTCGCTATTTCTGAAGCACTGACCAGCCCAATATGGATCTTCAATGAGCAGCGGGCGGATTTTCATGTCGAGGCGAGAAACGAGTCGCAAACACGCCCTGCCGAGACCATTTTTAGCCGGGGGGCTAGTTAGGCACGCACTCGGCCAACTTCCGCCAAATGGTTGAGAGCGATAAATATTTGCGATTTTTTGTCCGACACGAGCGATGGGACCATCTAGAATCTTTTAGATATAACTTAAACGGGATCGCTTCTCAATAAAATAGCGAAATGTTATTTTTTAATCAATTTAATTAAATTATTAAAATGAATATTTTTAAATTTAAAAATAAATCAAAAAATAATATCAAATTTGTATATAAAATTTAAAAAAATACTAGAAATTGGCTTTAATTTTTAAAAATAAATTAGCCTCTTTGGGCATTGTCGGATGAAATTTCTTTTTATTTACAGAAAATTTAAAATGAAAAACTGGAAATTATTATTTTTAATAGTTTAAATTAATTTTAGAAAAATAGTTTTCAGTTATTAATCTTTCTTCAAAATCTGAGTACGATTAATAAAAGTTGTGCTTTTCAGAAAAATAAGTAACGGAGAACCAACTTCCTTATTTGATACAAATGCAGACTTGGTTCACGTTTGGAGAGGCGTTTTCTGGCGAGAAGAAGTGCGAGCCGACACTTGTATACCTGAACGAGCTCATGCATATTCATCGGTTCGAGATAAAAAAAAAGAGAAATATGGAGATGCATCGCGCATAACAACGCTCGTAAAGCACTACTCGGTGGTAATGACCGAGATGACGTAAGTCCAGCTGATTCTAAAATGTACAATATAAATGCCCATGGTTCAATAAAAGGCATCTCGGGGCTTTTTCTTTCAGCCTCCCACGCCCTCTCAAGAAAACATCTGGCCGAAAGCGCGAATGAATAATATCATAAAGAAGTCGTAAAATAGAGGGTTTGCTCGTTAACAATAAAACGCTCCAATTCATTGGCCAATCTAGGCACGCGAGCTGCTCTTGAGTTTGATTTTGGTTGTAACGAATTTGGAGTTTTTAAGGGAACGGCGCCGCCGGCCGGTGATTTGACAGCTATTTTTATTGCTCCCCAACTCTGTGTTATTTGGATTACTTTATTGCTCTCATCCATCTTTAATACTCGATTTTAAGTGAAGACAACAAACTTCGGCTTGTGAAAAAGTAGCTAGAAAAATCAATAATAATGAGGATAATAAATATGAATACAACTTTTCAGTCATATCCTTCCCTTTCATTTAATTACCAAACTTTGATTAAAAAAATATTTCATTTACATAGAAAATATTTCCTTTAATTATTTCAGTTTTTCTATTTTTCACCATTACTGAAATTAAAAAGAAAGATTGCAATTTGTTTCTCTCCTCAAAATGTGTATGATTAAAAACGATTATAAAAAATTTCAAATAAAAAACCTCAAATAATATCAAAATAAAATTTTAGGATGATCTGTTTGATCGTTACATTTACATCAAACTTGTAGATTTTATTAAAATTCTTGCTGTTTTGGTCCAAAATTAATGCAATAAAATTTATTTCGCAATAATCAAATGTAAAAAATAATAATAATTAATGGGAGACGTATTGGTAGAATTTTTTTACAGTTTAAGATACCTGATCACTCTGATTAGTCACCATAACAGCAGAGATAATTATAACAAATACAAAAGAGGACGAATTTGAAAGAAAAAGTGTAAAAGATTTCAATTTGAAGCAGATTTAAATTATTTTTTAGTGATTTGTCACATCAAATCGTAATGAATTAAATTGAGCAAGTCATTTATGCTCATTATTGGTTGAATAAAAAATTGTACTAACAATAAGGTGTGTATGTTACAAAGCACATTATGGCCGTTTGTTTGTTGCACGGTTTCAGCCAGCGTGTCATGCGAGTCGCAGAGCAGCAAATAACGAGAAACGCGCTCCGATGATCTCATCGCGTTCTCCACTTGATGCTACGCTATGCGTAATCTGATCAATACCCCATTAAATTTTTCCTCGTCGCCAGCATCAAGCGTAAAATTTCATACTTTTAGACTCGCTTGGAAATATGTCTGCGAAAATTTAGAGAGGAAATTACGACTCGAACAAAAAATATTCACGCCACCCACCGACATTGAGCAGTGAGGTCGAAATTGTTATAATTAAGCGGCGCCTCAATTTGAAAGGGCGTTGGTCCTAATGCATGAAAAGTGGAGTGCAATCATCTAATTGTCTGCTTCTATCTGGGGACTAACCGATAATGGCATGTACCACTCTATAAATTTTTTAGTAAAAAAACATTTGCAAAGGTATTTTAGTGTAATGACTCAGTAAACAGAAATAATTATAAATTTATTTAAAAAAAGTTTTCCTCTTTATTTTGAGTTTTTTTTATTGAAATTCTCAGGAAAAGAATTGATAAAATTATATAAAAGTGTAGAAAGTTTCTGGCAAAAAGTATTTTTTAATTTACGAGCGTTTCCCAGTGAGATTGAGGGGGTAAACAATGAATTTTTGCACAAAAAGGCACCAACAGTAGCAAGAATTTGAAAAAAACTTCCAAGATCAAAAAGAGACTTTCTTGACTTACAATAAGATTTGATGATTTCACAAAAAATTATTATTATTGATTTTTTAATATTAAATTTTTTTCAGTCTTTGAATGTTTTTTCATAACTCATACAAAGCAAAATTAATTTTACTGGAAAAATTTGTATGATTAATTATTTAAAAATTCTCAGGTCAAGTTTGTAATCTTAATTTTCTCTTCGTAAAATATTTCTTAATTCTATTCTAAGATTTTGCAATCCTTTTCATTCTTTAATTACATGCAAAGTTTCCTTGAAATAATCTGCAATTACGAAGGACGAGAATTAAAAGCGTCGTAAATAAGACTCCTTCGGCTGGAGTTTGAAGTTTAAATTGAACCAACCGCGAGCAGATCTCCAATTTTACTTTCACCGCAAGCAATGAATGTCAGCGGTCGATTTTACTTTTCGAAGAGAGGCCCAATTGGCTGCGATTAGCATAAGAGGGAGCAAATTATCAAAGTCATTTATTTTTCCTGCTCGTTGTGCACTTTGAAGAGCAGATCGAGTGATTCAGGCTAGTGTGTTGTTAACTACAAAATACAAATTGCCATCCGACGTCACATCCTCGCGACAATGTTCATAATTCAGAGCGGTTAGCACGCATTGTTAATGTCAATGTCATTTATTTATTGACAGACTTTTTCGCTCGAAATGATTTATTTAAAATTAATTCAGTTAGATCGCCAGACTGAGGGTCTAACCGCATCACTCGTTTAACTACAAAGCTGAAAACAAACCTGTTTGCAGCCAAAAGTATGAACTCGCTCATACGTGGCCTTCGCCGGCTCGACTGATATCACAGGCCTAATTGTAAGGGACTAACTAAAGCGATAATAAAAAATAAAAATACAAAAAACCAACATTACATGGATATTTAAAATTTTCTTTAAAAAAAATATATTAGTTATAATTGAAATTTTAGTTAAAAAATTTACTAAAAATGTTAAATATTCAAAGCATTTTTCAACCTAATTCAATACAATTATATGATTGATTTAAATCCTTTTTATCCTTTTTAATTTCCAAATCATATATTTAAAATTTAACCTGATTTGTTACTCAATTGTTTTTAGTTTATTTTTATAAAAAAAAAAAATAAAAACATGAAAAAATATTTCATGATATAAACTTTAAAATTTTTTCAAAAATTAGTTTCCATTTTTTTTTAATTAATCAAATATTTGATCATTGCATTCAAATTTAAATTACCGACCGAAATTATTCTTGATTTTTTTTTTAATTTCTTCGCTGTTTTAATTTCCTCTGTTGAATTTTTCACCCCTTTTTCGTTTCACTTGCAGCCAACGGTCAAAAGGTCAAACCGGGCAATGTGGGTCGAAATAGAGACAAAAATCAGTTTCAATAAAACGAATTCCAACCTGTTGCTGCTGCAGCTGCCTCTCATTCTCGGCGTTCTTCTCTTCGTCTTCTTCATCCCTTTCGTCGAGCTTCGAGTTGCCGTTGACCCGCGGCGCCGGCACCGGTTCGACGCCACCGTTCGAGCCCAGTTGGACCTTGAGGACGGCGTCGACGATGGACTCCTCCTCGTCGACCGGCATTATTTGGCTGTGCAGGTCAATTAAGCAAATCAGAAACCGTGACTTATTTTTTTTTCTTGTGTTTCCAACTCACCTTTTCTTTTTCTCCGTCGGCGGGTGTGCAGGTGTGAGGATTCGGACGATCGACTGCGGCCACGCAACACACCAGACCACTCACATAATTCGCGAAATTACCGAGAAAAAATTAATTCGGACGGGGGTGTGCCGCCGCCGCGAATTTCGCTCCTGTCAACTCGCTAAACTGCTGAGAACGGAGCCGAAAATCCAATCCAAGACCCAAGCAAGCGGCCAAGCCGGCGGGGGAGGGGAAATAATAAACGATCTGCACGCTGCAGCCCTCTGTCGGCGCCTGCCTCAACTAACGGTTTCGTTTCGTTTTTAATACTTTGCGTGGTTAATTAATTACTTCGGTAAATTGATTATTTTTCATACTTAATAATTTTTATTCACTTCATTATGCAAAAGTTGTTTTTGGAGAACGACAGGCTGCTGCAGGATGCGAGCGCTACCGACCACATAAACTTGCAAAAAAATGCCACTTTTAATTAATTAGGAATAAAAAAAAAACGAATTTTCAGTTTGTCAACGTAAGTTTTGAATATAAGCTGGTCTGCGCCCCCGTCCTGAGATGAAGATTTGCTGCACGAAAAAATGTCTTCTTCTTCTTTATAATTCTTTATAATCATAATCGCACGGGAACAATCATAATAATGGAATAAAAAAGCGGATCTGTCAGATCTATTTCTGCATATTACACAGAAGTATTAAATTTTCTTATTCGAAACATTTTCAGTGTCTAATCATCGATTTCATTTCTTTTGAAAATCACACGAGTAAAAGTTTTAATTATTTCCAGAATTGATGATTCTCAGTAATGAAACCACATTATTGTTTTTCACGGCTGCTCGACACAGACCTACAAGTCTTGACTGCGGCTTCCCCACTATAATCAAATATATTTAAATTTAATATTATGTGGCTTGAAAGAATTATTTCTCTTATATTACCGCGTAGTTTTGACGCCTGCTCGATATACTTGTTAATTTGTTTCAAGCACTGCATCAGGTCGCTGTGATTTTGATTCCGGACTTTGTACGATTTCAAAATGTCATTGTTGCACGCCGACAGTGAAGATGTCCACTTGCTAACACCCTCTCTTTAAAAAAAGATATTTATTACCATTATTATTATTTATTTTAATTAATAAATTACACGTCTTCGATGATTCTGGCGTCCTCGATTCGGATGACGTGCGAGCGAATTGTGTCTAAACAACTGGCCATGTCGGTGCTGAGCTGCAGTCGCACGTCGTTCAGCTCGACCATTTTCGTCATCAGCTCTTTCAGATTTTCCTGGATTTTCGGAAACTGTGCTCTCGCCTAAGTTCATGATATTTATTCAAAATTCAGCAATTTTTTTTAATTAAATATTTTTACCTCCAAATCATGGACGTTCAGAAAATGAGCAAGTGACTGAGTTATTTCGCCAACCAGTCCCATGTCGTCACAATAAATTGTGATTTTATTGTCGCTGCCCACGCAAAACGCGACGACTTGGTTCACCTGCAGCGCCTTAAAATACAACTCCATATCCAGACCCGCCAGTGTCATTTCCGACTGCAGAAGGAAATTTTGGTTCACCCAAAGAATAATCTGCCAAAAAATTAATTTTATAATATTTTGTTTTTGAACCAAAAAAATCTAAAATACTCTTTGAATCCTCTCCTTGATTACGAATGTTGAGAAACTTTTTGGCTTTTCTTGTTTGCCTTTGAGGAGTTGCAGCATAGCGAATCTTGGGAGTTGTCTTGAAAGTTCAAAAAGGTGGAAATTTGAGCTTCCTTTGTGACCGATCAGGGCCTTAAAATATTAAAATCCAAAAGCATAGAGAATAATTTAAAAAAAAAATGCAAATAAATTAAATATAGGCATTTTGCTCTGCTGGAGAGACGTGCAGGTTGCCTACCTCAAAAGCTTAATTTTTTCCCTTTTATAATTTGTTTTTACCTTGATATGCAAATCAACCGGAACATTATTTACAGGAGTGATCGGAACCGTCACGTTACTAGTAAGTTCGTCATCCTTTGGGTGCAAAACGTGCGATTCACCCTGGAAAATTCCCTCGCAAAAAACAAGCACGGCTCGAATAACGGTGTCGTTGTTTGTGAACAAATTTACGTCAATGCGTGGCTGAGATTAATTAATTTTAATGTAATTTATTGAAAATTATTAAACTACTTGCCTTTTTCAAATCTGTGTCATTTAATGAAATGACAGTCTGAAGTTTTGTTTGCATCTAAAATAATTACAAATTGGTTTTTAACTAATTTTTTTTAATAGTTGAAAAATATATACTGGTATCTTTGATTTCGCCACTTCTACCGGTTGGTTAGTAGATTCCTTGTAATTAGAGAGCTCTAACATGAGGTGCTGTTTCTTGCTGAACATCTCTCGAACAGCATCGTGCCCGTAGTTAACCCTTCGACCAGGCGCCCTCAGCATTCTGTTAGCCTCGTACCCACGGACTTTCAATAAAATTTAAGTTTAAATTAATTTTAACTTGGAAATTGGAACCTTCTCCCGTCACCGAACAGCAAATTAAGTCTCGAGTTCCGATCAGTCGATAATCGCCAGCCACGATTCCGGCAACGGCAGAGGTGAAGTTGTCTTTGAACACAACTTCTCCAGTCCTGCTGCTCCTCCCATCCACTTTTCCATTCGACCAACCGATTATCAACTCGTCCAGACCGTCCCCGTCAATGTCATAATTGAAAACCATGACAGCCTTATTTTTAGACTGGAATTATTTTTTAATAATATTTATTCCTAAATTTATTTTATGAAATACCTTAATTCGCCACAAACGTTGCAATTTTTCATAAACTCCAATGGTGCCATTTGAAAGTCCGTATCCGAAGCAGGATTTCTGGAGAGGGGTCAAAGAGGTGACCGCCTCCGTTTCCGTAAGCTCGCCCACAATTTTGTCCTCTTTAAAAACTCGTATGTCGTAATCCGTGGAGCCGACAATCAACTTTTACAATAATTAAGATTTTTTTCCAAATAATTTTTTCTATCATTTATCAATTTTGTATATTTTGGCGCACCTCGTTTCTATTGTCTGAATCAAAATCCATCAACGCCAGAGAGCAGACGATGTCACCAGTGATAGTCCAAAACACCTCATTGCCCTCAAAGTCGAAACCCACAATGGTGCAATTTCCTCCAGCAAGGATCACAGGCTTTTCCATTTTGCCCAGTCTTCCGATCGATATAACTTTGACTCCCTCCGGAACCTTTATTTTTTATTTAAAAATTTAGGTAATACGAAATAATTTAAGTTACCTCTTTGTAAAAAACATCCATATTTTTTTCAACGTCATAAACGAGGATGCTTCTCGGCGAACCGACCACCAGGAAATCTCTATCGCTCGAAGGATCTATTTGCCCAGTTTGAATTGTTGTGATGGTTTGGTTCAAATTCAACATCACGACTTCCTTACTGGCATCGCTCGAACAAATTCGGCCCGAGCTTCCGGACAGTTTTTTATGAGGCGAGTGAATAAAAATCTAAATTTTGAGTGAATTTAAAAAAATCATTAATAAGTGACTCGATTAATTAATTTATATACTTTATCGGTTGCTGTTGCAGCCGTCAAAGAGGGGTGCGTTCCGTCGTAGTAACCTAGAGTTACGCACCCTGCAATTACAGGGTGGTGCAAATTAAAGGTGTAAACAGGCTGCATGACTTCTTTTGTTACGGTGGAATGCGAGTGGAAGGATCCCCACGCGGCGGCACGCGATTCAAAAAGTAGCGCGAATCGAGGCGCGTCATTCAATTGTTTGCGTAGTTCGCGAAACGACCGCGCGCCCGCAGTGACAAAAACATTCACCATGAAAGAAGCGTAGTTTTGAACGTAGCATCGAATTTCTGCAAATTTCGCTTGATTAAGCCGTTCTCTGGCGTTCTAAACCTTTAAAATATCGACTAACCGGTGGCTCACATAAATTTCAGCACGAATCGCGGACGAAAACGCGACTTTTGCTGGTGCAACCGCGCTTTTTAGAGTCATGAGGTGAGCTTGCTTACGCTTGTTGGTCCCACTTCCCCATTCTGATTGTGACTTAATTTCCGCAGGGCTGTTTCCTGGAGCTGAAAATTGCATGGATCAAGTGGCTAGCATGCCTGTCGAGCACCAGGACACGCTGGACGTGGTCAGAAATCGCCCGTTTATGCTCTCTTACCCTAGGCGTGCCCTGCCTACAAATTTTCCTGCTCATTTTTTTACCAATGCTTGTGGGCTGATTTGTTTAATTCCTTCATATTAACATGGAAATTACCTTTCATTAACTTTCTGAATAAGAATAGAATGAATTGTAGCCCAATAATTGCCTGATTTTTTAAAGGAATTATCTAAAAACCATAATTAAAAATCGATTTTTATATTATTTTATTCAATTTACAATTATTCTATAAAAATTAAAAGTTAGAAATCGTCGTTCTTTATAAAAGTAATAAAAATTATTATTTTGCTGACTTACTTCAAAAGTTTTTGAGATGTAAGAGGAAAACAATTCAAATTTTATTCATAGTTTTTAAAATTTACAGAAGCACCTGTGTGGCAAGGAAGAGCCATTATCGAACTTCCAGACTGGCGCTGGAATTCAAGAAGGACTGCTAGTGTCACCCCCTCTCTCAGACTGCTCTCCTTCTCATCCACCAATGAGTCCAGCCAAGATCAAGGTTGAGGCTCCAGAAGTCACGTGCGATGCTGAAGTACCGAAAGAGACAAAAATCCACAAGAAAGCGACTGAGGAAGGATCTCTTTTTAAGGCCAAAATCAACGGTGGCGCCGAGTCTGTGAAAGTGCGCGAGCCGAGTGATTCGACGAAAAAACATTCTGAGAGGCACCACTCGTCGTCGCACCACAGCAGCAGCCACAGATCGAGCAAGTCATCCTCTTCCCGCCACCACTCGTCATCTTCAAGCCATCACAAATCTTCCAGTTCCAGACGAAGTGACGACCGCAAAAATGAGTGCCCACATTGTGGAAGACGATCAAAGGTGAAATTGAGAAAAAATTGTGTTTTAATCAGTCTTATTTCCAAAACTGTTTTAGGTTAAAAAGGCGCACATCGGAATACAGTGTCGTCGAGACCGAACCTTCACAAAGACTGTGTCCCTGCCTCGGCCACCAGCCTCTGAAACGAGTGCAAGAATGCAGAATCTCATCAGGGTGGAGACCAACGCCAATGGAGGGGCAAGCGTCGTACATTTGTACCAGGACGAAATCTGCCGACTGAGCCCTGAGGAGATGGAGGTGCTGGTCGACGAATACTTCAAGGTGGTTTTCCAAGAGGATGAGGATGGCAACCCAATGCATGTGATGGGAATCGTGCACGGCGCTGCCGCCTATCAGCCAGACTATATCGACTACATGGCTGAGAAGCACCCGAATCTGGTTGTCTCAAACAACGTCCTGGGCAGGAGCAACGAGACTGAAATGTCTACCATGCTGAAGTACTGCGAAAATGTAAAGAAGATTTTTTATATTATCATCTGAAATATTTTATGCTAATTTTTTAAACACACTCCAGGTGTACAAGAATTATTCCTTTGGCACTATTCGATATGGCCCACTCAATAATATCAGCATTGTTGGTACTGTCCACGAGGAACAGGGAGGTTTCTTCCCTGACCTGCTGGAGATCCTTGAACAAGACCCCTTCCTTAAACAAGTAAGACTAAACGAGAAAATCGTGGTCTGGTCTGGAATTAACTTTTCTATTTATTTCTGCAGACAATGCCTTGGGGCGGTCTTTCAGCCGTGAAGATGAGCACGCCTCGAGAATCGAATGATGGACCGATTCTGTGGGTCAGACCAGGAGAACAACTAGTGCCCACTGCAGATCTATCAAAGTCGGCAACAAAAAGAAAAAGGTTAATTTTTAAGAATTTTAAGATAAATTAATTAGTTAGAAAATCAATCATTCTATAGTTATTTTTGAAGCATAAAAATAAAAATGTTTTTAACTTTTAATTCTGATGCACAGGACGGGAATAAATGAACTGAAGAATCTGCAGTACCTGCCAAGACAGTCGGAGGCCAGAGAGTACCTTTTTGAAGACAGAACCAGAGCACATGCAGACCATGTTGGCCACGCCCTGGACAGACAGACAACGGCAGCCGTGGGAGTGCTCAAAGCCATCCACTGCGGTGAGCCGAGCGAGCACAACAGAATCACAAAAGATGTGGTCGCCTTCCACGCTGCCAACTTTCACTATCTTGTCGAGAAGCTGCAACTTGACCTCCACGAGCCTCCCATGTCTCAGGTCTGTAGTTTTCTCCTTTAAAATATTTGCAAATGTCATCTAAACAAAAATACTTCATTTCAGTGTGTGCAATGGGTGGAGGATGCAAAACTGAATCAGCTTCGGAGAGAAGGGGTTATGTACGCACGAATCCAGCTTTGTGACAATGACATTTATTTCTTGCCCAGGAACATCATCCATCAGTTCAGAACAGTCACAGCTGTTACAAGCATAGGTTTGTTTTAAATCTAAAAATGAGTTCAAGAAAGTTATTTTAATTATCGTTTTTACAGCCTGGCATGTGAGACTAAAGCAATATTACCCTGAAGCGATTGCCATGGAAGAAAACGCCAAAATGACCAGAGACCTGAGTCTGGTAAACTCGGACAGTCCTACAAAGGCGTTTGAAGTTCTGCCGAACGAGGAGGAAGTGCAGAGTGCCAAGAAGAGACCAAACGAGAACGGAGATGTGAGCTTGGCGCCTCCAGAAAAGGTTTTGATTATGGAAAAGGACAAAAATAATCACAAGCAGGAGCGAAAGGAGAAGAAGGAAGAGAAGGATCGTAAAGACGAAAAGGATCAACGGGAGGACAAAGAGAGAAAAGATGACAAGGAGAGCAAAGAAGAGAGAAGAGAGAAACATAAAGAAAGCAAAAGGCCGGAGAGCGAGAAGAAGCAGCGAGAGTCGCCAATCAGTGCCACAAATGACAAGTCAAAAGCAGAGCCAGCTTTGAAGGCAGCCCCTGAAGAAGTCGAGGCCGCCCCCAGCAACGACGAGGCCAAACCACCAGTCAAGCGTCAACTGACTCTAAACTCGGTGTCGCCTGTCAAGAAGCCAGAGCTGCCGAAGAATTCGGTCAACCTGCTCGACCAAATCATGGCCGAGATGAATTTGCCCCCCAAACAGTTCAGCTAATTAGTTCTCTGCCATCAACATTCCCACATTTTTAGTTTTCTCTTCTTCTTGTCAACCGACCATGAAATGCCATTTTGCATTAGGCAAGCTATTAATTTTTCTCCGAGCTAGACAATGCTTGTCTGTAATCACGTTTTTTAATATACATTTTTTTTTTGTACATACGAGTGCTGAGAGTTTATCACCTGGTAGTTTATTTGAGTTTTATACACTGCCAATTTTTCACAGAAGTTGAACTAAACTACTTCTTACACTAACGGTGTCTGTCTTTTGTTTTTGAGCAAGCTAGACTACTAGTTTCGAGAGTTTATTCGTCATTGTCTTTTTCATAGAAAGAACGATTTGGGCAGCAGCACTTCTATGGAGTGCGTTTTGTTAGTTAATTTATTGTTTATATGCAAAGGAGAGGACTTTATATATTGTGCATGGGAGAAATGAGAATCAAAGTGGCCCCTCTGAAAATAATTTATTATATATTGCCTAGAAAAGTAACACAAATCAATAAAAAAAAGTAGAATTTATTATTGGTGGACAAAATATTACGACGAGAAGTAACTTAATTAATCGATACGCCTATTATAGGTACCACACATACACAATACAATCTATATTGTTGAGTAGCGTGATTGCTATTATTGTATTTGTAAGTCTATTTGAATGTTTGTCAATTTTATTCACACGCGCCATGTACACTCTTCACGGAGCTCTTCTTCCCGAACTTTGTCGGGATCACTATACTTTCTTTGTTGCTTCTTAGTTTCCAAGTGCAATACAGAGAAAAATATTTAATAAAAATGACCCTCTAAATAAAAAGCAGGCTGCTTCATTTGTATGAAAAGTTATACCAAATTGCACGTGTGTGATAATTTTCCAGCTGCTGGAGTTTTATCAGCCGCAAAAAAAGTGTTTGTCCTTTTGGCATTGGCATTGATACAAAATGATTGTGTATCTGGGTCCCGTGCGTGAGGTCTTCATTATTCAATCAACAAGGTCGAAATTCGTAAATCTCGTAAAAGCGCAAGGCTTTTCCGCTACCAACTGAAAAAGAGCAGCAAAATCAATTTTTTTATTTTTCAAACTTCATTAATGTAAATTAAATTTCTTTCCTAAAATACCAATTCTCAAGTTTTTTTATTACTATGCAATGTTTATAGTGAATATTTTGAACAGTTTATAATAGTTTTATATGAATTGTAAATATTCTCAAGTTGGCTGCACTGCGGTGTTTATGACCTTGGATGCAAATTAGATTGAAAGGCCAGGGAAGAGGGAAGAAACACTTCAGCTCAGCCCGAGTAGGTTGTTTCGAGGGCTGAAAAGTGTCCGAGTGGCTCGGAAATACGACCAAGTGGACTCGAGGGACTTCGGTCGAAGTCCACTATGTAGCCGTGCGCGATTCGGAGACGCCCCGCCGCCCAACGAGAGCCTTGAGGATGGCTGAAGGAACAAAGGAGGAAGACGGCGGACAGGGCTTGTTTGCCTTGCTGCCCTGGGACAGGTTCAGCAACTGGCTGCACTGCGTCTGTGTCGTCACCTTTGACCTCGAAATTGGACAGACTCTCGAGGTAGGTCACCTGTAAATGTTTTAAAACAGCAAAATCCGTCAAGCGTGTCACGCACTTTTACATAATTACATAGCTATTGTGAAATTTAAAGGTACACAACTACTTTCTAATCACAATTAGCTGGATAATTTTTGTTTAAATTCCGTTAATTTTAGTGTAAATTATTTATAAAAGTTTCTTTTCTATTAATGTAATAGTTAGCCTCTTATTTATTTTATGGTTTTTTTCTGAAACAAAAAATTGATGATTATTTTTCTTTTCAGTTGGTTTACCCTGGTCATGTGCGGCTGACAGAGCAAGAGAAGACAAACATTTGCTACCTCGCGTTCCCTGACTCAAACTCAGGGTGCATGGGCGACACGCAGTTCCATGTGCGGATCCGCCAGTCGCCCGGAAGACAAGGCCTCACGCCCGACCACCGAGTGTACAACTCGAGCTGTCCCGTCCACCTGCAGGCAGACCCTTCCCACTTCCACGGCTACGTCTACTTCCGCCAGATCAAGGACAAAACCATTCCCAGGGGATACTTCCAAAAGGTGCAGCAAAGCAAAATGTGATGGAGGAATAATCAAATTTTACATTTTTCAGAGCGTGGTTCTGCTCTCGAGGCTGCCTTTTATCAGTTTGTTCCACAAAGTCGCCCACCGAGTAGCCAACGAGTTCTTCGACCGAGGCGAAACTAGCATAGAGGCCTCCTGCCATGATGTGGATCAGTGGCCAGTCCCTCTTCCTGGGGAACAAGTTTCTCTTCCTCTTCTTGGAGAAATAATTCAAGTAATTAGTTTTTAATTTTAAAGATCATTTAGTCAAAATTGACACTTTTTATTTAGAAGAAAATAAAAATTGTCTTCTCTTTTCAGACTCAAATTCCGTGCAAAAGCAGCAGTTTAATGTCACCCGGATCTCCGAGCAAGTGCGTCGTTCAAGCGCCGTCGCCAACTGTACTTCCATCAGTGCATGAGATAAACTTGTTCAGAAATTTCTGTCCGGTGCTTTCGCATGTGCATCTGTTGTGGGAGTTAGTGCTGACGGCCGAGCCGATCATCGTGATGGCACCTTCGCCCACTGTTTGCTCTGAAATGGTCTACTCACTAGTTAGGTAAGAGTTCAACTCAAAATATTGTGAATTTGCACAAAAAATGTTTCATTTCACAAATTCAATCATCTTTTAACTTAACCACTTTTTTACCAAGCTTGAAACATTTGAATTAAATTAATTATAGATCATTTTAATTTCAGTATGATAGTGCCGCTGCTGTATTGTGCAGACTACCGGCCGTTTTTTACGATACACGACTCTGAATTTAAGGAGTACACGGCCAACACTCATGCCCCTCCGTCAGTCATCCTGGGGGTGACAAACCCCTTCTTCGCTAAAACCCTTCAAAATTGGCCACATATCATTCGACTGGGCGAGACTCCAAATCTAGGTACTGAAAATTTAAAAAGAAAAATTTTATCTTATTTTTTAAATAAATTTTTTTTCTCAGCAACTCCTCAAAAACACAAACTGAAAAAGGCGAGCAACCTGAAGATGCTGGACTCAAAACCAGGCGTCTACACTTACTACAAGTCCTTTCTGCAGAAGGACAAAAACATAATTAAGAAGCTGATGAAAGGCACCCAGACCAAGAGGCCCTGCGAGGTGCAGAACGCAATTTTGAAGCGGCACCTGCTCGAACTCACGCAGAGCTTCATGATTCCCCTCGAGAGGTACATGGCCAGTTTGATGCCTTTGCAGAAGAACATTTCCCCTTATAAGGTATAAAATAAACAAATCTAAAATGCAAACCCTTCTGATTTTAAAATTAATTCAGGCTGCGCCAATTCCGAAGCCATTCAACCCCGACGACTTCATTGCGACGTTGGAAACTTCCGGTCCCCAGCTGACCACTGGAATCAAAGGGGATTGGGTTGGACTGTACAGGAAGTTCTTCAGGTCGTGCAACTTCAGCGCTTGGTACAACGCCAGGTACAGGGAAGTGAGCCAGAAACTGCAAACTCTGCAGCTGCAAGCGCTTTCTGATGCGGTAAAACCTTACATTAAATTTTTTAATGTAAATTTAAACTTTTTTACGGAAAAATCTTAATTTTCAGGACCTCAAGTTGTGGGTTCAGGGAAAGAAGGAGGTCGAGGTTGTGGACATGGTGTTGCAAATTCGCCACAAAATCGAGCAGAGCCAGTCCGAAGAGCTTCCTCTGAGTGGCGTCACAAAGCAGCAGCTCCAAACGCGGCTGGACGACATAATTTTTACTCTCCCCGAAGACTTGCGCTCCGTGCTTAAAAACTGCTGACCTGTGCCAGTGCATTGAAGACGCCCATCTTCTAATTTTATTTATTATTTGCATCAACGACTCTTAAGCCTGTAAGCCGGGAACAAGTTTTCTTTTTTAATTATTTTAACCATGACTTATGAAATAGTGATGTTTTAGCAAAGCCCGCCTGAGAGGTTGGCAAATTTTAATTAACCGAGATTATTATCCATGTCTGTTTTCAGAAAGGAGAAAAATGTTAAATTTGATTTATTTAATATTTGTTGAACAGTTCAAACAGTGCAATTTTAAAAACCTTATTTTCTACTTTTGAAATTACTGGAGATGCAATTAATTATTCATTTAAAACCCCCCCAAAAGAAAACTCTAGGCTCCACTCAACTTGATTCTACTTGGTCTACGCTTATTGTTAGCCACAATTATTTTTACAAAAAGTGCAGCTTTTGTACAAAGTGAGAAGTAAACTATTTTAAGCAGCATTTTCGACGGTGCTGTCGGTTGTTTTAAACAAGAGATAATAATAATTATACTCTCTCGTAATTTGGTCTAGAGTGAAAATAATACTTATGTGTTGATCTTCATGACAAATTGAGTTGGTTCGTGTCTGAAGCAGCGAATATTTATTTAGTGTCGGCAGGTACGGTGTGAAGCAAAGGCTCAAGTGAGCTTCTGCCGCCGAATCTCAAGTGTTATTTTGTATGTTTATTAAAACTGTAAAACTGGGGAGCGATTTATGAGATTGTGAAGATTGTTTAATAAATTTTGAAAAGAGGTGATGCATTTGAAAAGTATGGTTGAAAAATATTTTCATTCATATCTCAACCTTTCTAAAATTTAGTAAAAAAAAATAAATTTTTTTAATAAAAATAAAAATTAATTTTATTATTTTGGCATGGCCGTCGGCGAAAACTGCAAGTGGTGTTGGAGCACCTCTGCTTGCGACTCCAAAGAGAGAGAGAGAGAAAGGCCTCGCGTGTTCTAAGCTGGAGCTGACAAATAAAATTCTCTCTCCTCAAAGTTGCGGGCGGACCCGGTGCACCACCTGTGCCTGACAGGTCGCCGTTCTGCGACCCTTCGGCGTCGACACGCGTCCCTCGGCCGGCCAGAGGTGCCCTCGGTCGCAAATTGACCCCTGGTCCATCCTTGGGGTCACCGCGGGTCCCACGGGCGCCGTTTTCGGGACTTTCCTGGGCCGGAGGGGAGCGCTGGAGGGGAAGGGACCTGCGGCCCACGGAGGAGCGACCTGACGCACTCGCACAGTGTGGGATAGCGCGCAGCCGCACCGACAGATCGAGAGCTGCTGGTGCCCGGCCGTGCGTGCGGACAGTACTCTTGTTGTGACCTCGTGTGGTGCTTCTCGGTCCATTTGGGATTTTCGCGTCCATCAGCAGCAGAAGAGGCATGGATTTGCTCACAGACGGCTGAGCAGTGGATTTATTTCATTTTCCGTGCACAAGTCAAAAGGTAAATTATTAAATTTCAATTATTTTTAAACTAGTTTTGGGCAAAATGCATAGATTGAGTTGTGAAATACACAGAATTATATCTAGAAGAATATTTATTTTTTTTTAATTACAAATTAAACATAAAGTATTAAAATAAAAATGCATCTAAATTATATATTTGTTAATGATAATTGCAGGAAAGCTATGAATACTATGATGTATCTTTATTTAAATTTTATATTATATTCCTTGAAATTTAGAATTTTTCCCTTTTATTTTAATTAAATATTTTTTAATTAATAATATATAAAATAATTTTAAAAGTTCTAAGTTCTTCTAAAATCATATCATATACAAAAAATCGTCAAAATGTATTCATCAATTTCTGTTTTACTTTTTTTTAACAATTTGCTTTGCAAGATTTTAAAAATTCTCAATAAAACGCTTAAAATAATAAGTGTGCTCAGAGAAAAAAGTTGTCAATTATGTGTTGCGCGCATTATTATTATTTTCACTAATTTTCTGTTAAAACAAAAAATTTTATGGTCTGTTATAATTAGTCAAGGGCGCATTTCTCGTGAAAAGTGAGATTTTCGAGTTGCGGCTGTTTGCTCGCTGATAAATCGACTGGTGACCGTGTGCGTTTGCTCAACACCGTTGCCGATCGAAATATATATACATATTTTTTTTTTCATTCTTCCTCGACGCCTTCGCGCTTTTTCGCTTGCAAAACCCGCGACAGACGAGGAAACAAAAAGCTGCTGCTGATCCGCGCGTTTAAAATACTCGAGAAAAGTGCAGCAATAAAAGAAGTTATAAACGAAAATGCATTTGTACACACTTGGCGAAAAAAGTGGCAAACCGTTTTTTTCCCTTCGCTTGAATATTTCGCAAGAGACAGGAAAATAAATTGGTCGCTGTCCATATTTATCCGCGACTCGCCGTATATAGGAGGCGAAATTTTTCGCTCTTGATCCTCGCTCCGGTGGCACGCAGGCGTTTTTTCTTTTTTCATAATTCTTTTTAATTTGCGCCACGGCCGTCGAGTTAAAATGAAGTTTACAGCCTAATTGGACTCGCGATTTCTCAAAAGTTATAATAATTTAATTTTCTTCGTGTCTGCTCGTGTATAGCGATTTATTTCGCGTCGCGGATCGATTTCTGTATTCTTTCCGATCTTGCTTGGCACCCGAGAACGAACCCGGCCGAGATCACGTTCCCATAAGACAAACACACACGCATAAAAGTAAAGCGGCGGCTCACTGTATCTGGTTTCGCGCGTTTCATTGAAACAACTATAACACACACTCCTAGTTTTTCCAACGGCGGACTCAATTCGATATAAATTCACTCACAATTATTTCTTTCAGCACTCCTGAAAGAAAAATTAACTGATTCTGATAGATTTCTATTTAATTTTAAATTAAAAACTTAAATAATCAGGTTTATCATTGTTGTTGTTGTTGTTAAATTGTCCAAACTTTGATTTACAATTTTAGATAAGAAAAAAACTGTGGAACCAAAAGCAAAAGTTTTTAATTTTAAATAAAAAAAATTAAGGAGATTTAAACAACCCTTTTGACAAAATAAGTAACAATAATAGAAGAATTTATTTGAAGCCAATAATTGTTCTATAAATGAAAAATGAAGAAGCATAATTTATTTTTAAAACAATTTAATACCACTTTACAAATATTTTTATAGCACCTAAAAAAATATAATAATCTAACTAATCTTTCACTAAGAAAAAGTTAATTTTTATTTAAAACTAATTAAAAGGTAAACATTGCTCAGCAAAACTAAAAAAATATGGAAAAATATTAATTTTAATAACTGATTTTTATTATATTTTCTTAAAAATCTGTAATTATAAGCTTAATTTTATTTTCATTAAAAAAAGGAATGGCAAAGAAATATAAATTTCAATTTCTTGTTTTCATTCTAAATTTCTATTGTTGTTTGTCATTGTTTGCAAAATAGAGATAATTTTAAACGATTTCACGCTAATTTTTTGCATAAAATATAAAATTTTGTACTTAAATGAAACGAATTTTATAATTGCAAATCGATCTCAACTCACTTCATGGCACTTTTCCAAGTCAACGTATGAACATTTGTGTTGTTGTTATTATACGCACTCTGAAATTAAAACGTGCACACGAGAAAGGAGCGGCATTTTCATTTGTGCTTTACAGAGAAGGAAGCCGCGTTTAATATTTGTAAATCAGACTCGGAGAGAGATAGCGGCGGTATACGGTATATTCTTTATTATTGTTGATATTTTATGAGAGAGTGCGGAGGGCCTAAATAGATTCTCATATTTTCCATCAACACGCGCTGCACACGAGTGTATTTTACACGCCAGTGCATCGAGCTGCATTCATTACCATGGCAAGGCGTTCGCAGCTGCTTCACAGTTTCTATGTGCACTTTAATAATTCATGCAACAAAAAAGAAACTAGATTTTCCTCTCTTTATATTTGTGTCAACTTGATTTGCAAATAAATATTTTTATCAAAAAGCTTTGTTAAAAAGTTGGTCTTGATTTTAAACTTTTTGAAGCGAAACAGTCTCAGAATTTATTTTCAAATTCTATGGATTTGAGGAAAAATACTAATTAATTAATATTACTTTTTCTTCTTCTAAAATTCATGATGGCACAAATTTTTAAAGAAAACAAAGACGCCTTATCTTGGAATCATGCTTAAAACCGCTAAAAACAGTTATAATTTCACAAATAATTGTTTTCAACTTGTTTGGAGAAAAATAAATGAATTAAAATTGAATTGAAAATATAAGAAAAATCTTTTTTCAGAAGATTCTAATGAATATGAGGTTTCATTTGCAAGAATTACAAATTGTTTGTTAAGAATAATTATATTTTAAAGGTCGGAATTAAAACGAAACACAAACCTAAGGTTAAAATAGTCAATGTCAAGTCTCAAAAAAAATTAACAAAAATCTCTAGTAGACTTTTTCCAGTAAAAAACATCAAAAAGAATTAATTAATAATTAGGAACTAATATTAAAGATTTAAATCACAAACCAAATTGGCAAATATATTAAATATGGCAAAAATCTCTCTCTATTTAATGCCAAGGTTATTTTTTACACATTATATCACAACAAAAGCAGCTTTTAGCTTTTACAGATTACGCGTTGAAAATAATTTCCCTTTTCAAATAATATACGAGCGTTTTGTTATTTGTTAATGGCTGCATTCATGCTGGCGAAAAGTGAAAATGCCTTCCTCTCTCTAAATACATATTATGAGTTATTTGCTGGTCGTTTGCCTTTTTTCTTATCTCTCCCCGCTCGTCGGCACAAAATGCCTTTGGAAATTTTGTCACCGCGTTTAAATGTGACGCTTTTCGCCGCTTAATCAGTTTTAATAAATTTACGAGCTCCCAAGTTCTATTCGACGGGCGGCCGCAAAAATAACACAATCAATTAAAAACGCATCACTCAAAACGTTTATTCGCCCTGATTAACTCGGGCTTCGGAAATTTAGTTTTTTAATCAACATGCAAAGATGCTGACCAGAATTAAAATTAACTCGGAGATTTGGGCTTTGTTTGAACTGATAATTATTTAAAATAAACGCAGCTGTGCCCAGACGTGGAAAAAGTGCACCGGGTGTGCAGTTGAACAATACAAAATTAAGTAAGATATAAACCAACTGGGAGAGATATTGTGTATGTGCTTTGGAACTGCGCCAGCTGCAATTGAAAGTGAAATTTATCAAACATATGAGCCCACATTTGTTTTGTGCACGACTAAGCCTGCAGTTTCATTTAATCAACGGATAAATTTTCAAAATTGAGAAGTTTGGAAATTTTAAAATAAATAGTTTTCTTAAAGGACATGAAATTGCAAAGAAATTTGATTAAAATTCAAGTGTTTTAATTTATTTTTAGAAATGAGAACTGGGTTTTTTGCTTTTCCTTAAATCGAGATGAATTGAAAAAAAAAACAATTTTAAATAGAACTCTTAATGGTTCGGCAAAATTTTAATTAGAAGAAATTAATCATTATAAAAATAAAATAAAATAGAATTTCAAGAATTTAATAGATTTTTTAACATGGTCAGCATTGATTTTACTCCCTAAAAATTCACCTCTTTACTTCTTATTTAATTTTTTTAACGCAATTAACTCTCTCACTAAACTATGCTAATTTTTAACTAGAAGTAAATTAAATAACATTAAGTTTTATAAAAATCAAAACTATTTTGCAAGTTTTCAAGTGGAAAATAATGTTGCTGTGTAATAATTGTGATGCAGAGATAAAAGTCGATCTCAAGTACGAAGATTGCTCTTGTACTCATTACAAAATAAGCGACTGCACATGGTGCGTGTCTCTGCGCCCTAGGAGGACAGAATTTCCTTTTTGGAGCGCTGTTTGCAGACAAATGATCAATTAATTGGTTGAGAAGGCTCAATTAGGCCCGGCTGGGTCAATTGGTCGGCCACTTGGACCCCGAGTGGCCAACAGCTGTGCGGGTGGCTCTCGGTGACGCAAGCTCCGCCGCAACACTCTCTCACCGCACACACACAGATTTATGGAATGCAATAAAAATATAAATACGCGAGTGTTAAAAGTTGAAAGTGAGACGAGTATAATTACACACGCAATTGCCCACTCTGACAATCGAGCGCCTTAAGAAGAAAGAGCAACAGAGATAAATATGTAAAGCAAGGGTTGCAACACATTTTCAATTTATATGGCAAAAGGAAGAGACAAATAATTTCAATGTGTGGAAACACAACAACTTTGCATTAAAATTAATAAATTAAATATTAAAATATTACAATTAATAAAAAAAAATCTAAATTAAAATATTTGTATGAACTCTGCAATTTATAGTAAAATAGGAATGGACTTTTAAGTGATTAATCATATTTTAGGCTTTTTTAAATTTAAAATTTAATTGAAATTTAAATTTTTCATATATATTTCACTTTGGATTTTTATAACATCCAATAATCAAGGAGAAAAGCAAAAAATTTCATAATTAAT